TAGAACATTTATTAAAGAAATACTAAGTACTACACTTAATGACAAGACTCTCTTTAGAAAGCTGTGTTTAATAAAACGTTTTTTAGCTTATCCACTTCCAGGTTACAAATACCCATTTGATAACTGCACTCTTAGTCCAGTGATTTAATAAATACACTTTTCAAGTAACCATTCTTATCATTTAGGTGGAAGAAAATGTCAGAGTCTGATACCACACATGATTGTATATATGATTTGTTGTGTAGTTTACATAGCTAGGGGTCTACTTAAGAAAAGCTGTTCCCTAGTATTTGTGTAAAAACAGACACATGTATCAATGGAACTAGAATAGTCAGCCCAGAAATAAACCCATACATATGAGGTCAGCTGATTTATAGCAAAGGAGTGAGTCTGTACAATAGGTAAATGACAGTCTTTTAATAAATGGTGTTGGGAACACTGGACAGCCACATGGAAAAGAATGAAACTTGGCCACTATCGTATACCATACGCAAAAATTAACTTAAAATGGATTAAAAGACTTGAAGTAAGGTCTAAAACCATAGAACTCCTTAAAGGAAATATAGGTGGTCATCTCCTTGGAATTGGTCTTTTTGACTCTGACACCAAAAGCAAAAGTAAATAAGTGAGACTACATAAAAATAGAAAGTTTTTGCACAGCAAAGGAAACCAACAAAATGAAAAGATAACCTACTCAATGGGTAAATAATATTGGCAAAGCATACATCTGATAAGGGGCTTATATTGAAAATAAATAACTCACACAACTCAATAGCAAACCTCCCACCCAAACAATCCACTTAAAAAATGGGCTAAAGATCTGGATAGACATTTTTCTAAAGACATACCGATCGCAAACAGGTACATGAAAAGATGCATAACATCATAAATCATCAAAGGAATGCAAATCAGAACCGCAGTGAGATATCATCTTGCACCTGTTAGAAGGGCCATTATCAAAAAGTCAAGAACTAACACGTGTTAGCAAGTGTATGGAGAAAAGGGAACCCTTGTGCACTCTCAGTGAAAATATAAATTGGTGTAGCCACTGTGGAAAATGGTCTGGAGGTTCTTCAAATATTCAAAATAGATCTAGCAATTCCACTTCTGGGTATTTATATAAAGGAAACAGAAAGTACTAACTCAAAAGGATATCTGTACCTCTTTGTTCATTGCAACATTATTTACAATATCTAAGACATGGATGAATGGAAAAAGAAATTGTGGTATATGCACATGATGGAAGATTATTCAGCCATTAAACAGAACAAAATCTTGTCATTTGCAACAAAATGGATGGACCTCGAGGGCATTATGCAAAGTGAAGTAATACAGACAGATACTATATGATCTCTCTTCTACCTGAGATCTTGTTAAAAATACATCAGACTCATTGATACAGATCAGAAATTGGTGGTTGCCCAAGGCAGGGGATGGGGAGTGGAGTGATGGGTGAAGGGGGTTAAAAGGTAAAAAGGAAATAAAACCAGAAAATAACACAAATAATAAAAAAAAGTTGACAATAAACAGGGCTCTTTGTGTCCTTTTCCATAGCAACCTTTTCAACCTTACAGGTGTGATTTCAGTGGGGGAGTAATGAGAATATGAAATTTAGTACCAACTTTGCTGTTCTTCTTTCAGTTGTGGTATATTTGATCATCCCTAAAAATGTTCCTCCATCATCAGTAAGTCATTACACTCTTCTAACCATTATAATTAATATATTTGAGGTTTCTTTCGAATGTTTGTCATCAGTATTACAGCATGTACAATTATGCTAGAGGTCCTCCCCATGCAGTAAGGCAAGAACAAAGAAATAAAAGGCAATAATCCAGCTGGAAAGGAAGAAACTGTCTTTATTCAGAGACAATATGAATAAAGAAAATAAATAAAAGGCAGTAATCCAGTTGGAAAGAAAAATGCTGTCTGTATTCATAGACAACATGATCATTGATACAGAAAATTTGATGGAGTCTACAAGGAAACTGTTAGAGCCAGTAAGTTTAGCAGGGTTGCAGGATACAAGATCAGTATATGAAAATTAATTGTACTTGTGGATATTAGCAACAAACAGTCAGAAACTGAAGTTAAAACACAAGCAGTACTACTTACAGTAACATCAAAACATGAAATACTTAACAGATAAATCTGACAGTAAAGCATAAGACCTATATGCTGAAAACTACAAAATGCTGTTGAGAGAAAACAATGGAGGCTTAGGTGACTGGAGAAAAGTACCATGATTATGGGTCAGCAAATTCAATATTGTTAAAACCTCCATTTTCTCCAAAATGACCTATAGATTCAATGCAATTGAGATGAAAATCTTGGCAGGATGTTTTGTGGAAGTTGATAAACTGACTCTAAAATCCATATTAAAGTACAAAGAACCTAGATTAGTAAGAGCAACTTTGAAAAAAACAGTTGGAGAACTAAACCTACTTGATCTCAAGATATTATAGAGCTGTAGTAGTCAAGAAAGTATCAAATTGGTATCAAGATGGATATGTGGAATAGAGCAGAGCAGAGAGTCCAGAAGGAGACCCACACATTTATGGACAATTGATTCTTGACAAAAGGGAGAAGGCAGTTCATTGGAGAGAGGATAGTCTTTTCCAGTTGCTGGAACAATTCAATACCCATATGTAAAAGCAAAAGAACCTCAATCCATAACTTGTGGCATACAGAAAAATTAATTCAAAATGGAAGATAGATCTAAATGTGAAACCTAAAGACAGAACATATGTCTTCAAATAGGATAAATAGGAGGAAAATCTTCGTGGCCTGAGTTAGGCAAAGACTTCTTGGATATGTCACAAAAAGTAAGATTCATAAAAGAATAATTTGGACTTCCATCAAAATTGAATACTTTTGTTCTTTTATAGACACTTAACAGAATGAAAAGCAAGCCACAGATAAGGAAAAAAATACTTGCAAATAACTTTTATCTAGAATATATGAAGAACTCTCAAACCTCAACAGTTAAGAAAACAGACAACCAAATAAAAATGTACAAAACATTTGAACAGACACTTAAGAAAATATATGGATGCCCTGGGTGGGTGGCTCAGTTGGTTGGAGCATCGTCCATACACCAAAAGTTTGCGGGTTTGATCCCTGGTCAGGGCACATATGGTAGGCAACTGATTGATGTTTCTCTCTCACATCGATGTTTCTCTTGCTCTCATTTTCTCTCTCTCTAAAATCAATAAACATATCCTCAAGGTGAGGCTTTAAAAAAAAGGGGGAAATATATGGATGGAAAAAGTACGTAAAAAAAGCAACACCATTAGTCACTAAAGAAATACAAATTAAATGCACAATGAAATACTACTACACACCTATAGAATACTAAAATTTTTAAAATACTGACAATGCCACGTGTTTGGAAGGATGTATAGAAACTGGAACTGGTTAGAATGTACAATGGTACAACTGCTTTAAAAAACAGTTTGGTAGTTTTGTAAAAAGTTGAACATATTCCTACCGTGCAATACAGCTATTTCACACTTAGGTATTTCCACAAGAGAAATGAAGGCATGTGTCCATATGATTCAGCAGTCCCTAACCTTTTTGGCACCAGGGACCAGTTTTGTGGAGGACAATTTTTCCATGGACCCGGGTAGGGGGAATGGTTTTGGGATGATTCAAGCCCATTACATCCAAGCTCACTTCCTGCTGAGTGGCTGGGCTCCTAACAGTACTGGTCTGTGGCCTGGAGGTTGGGGATCCCTGCATATGAAGACAGGAATATGAATGTTCATAGCAGCTTTATTTGTAACAGCCAGAAACTGGAAAAATCCCAAATGCCCATCAACAGGTGAATACATAAACAAATCGTGTATCTACACCGTGGAATATTACTTACCAGTTAAAGGGGAATGAACTATTGATATCCACACTAACATGGATGAATCACACAAAAATTCTGAAGGAAAGAATACAGGTTTTAGAAAATGAATGTATGATTAGTTTATATAAAATTGTAGATAAAGTAACCTAGAATGACAGATTGTTTAAGGGCTGACGAGGAAGGGCAGGAAAGAGAGGAATGACAGAGGGACACAGAAAACTCTGGGGTCATGAGTGTGTTCACTGTCTTAATTGTGGCAATGATTTCATGTGTTTGCGCATGCCAAAACAAGTGGCATACTTTATGTGTACCTCATTGCACACCACTCACATAGACCAGTAAAACTGAAGAGAGCGCGCAAGCAGGCTGTGCTGTTAGGAAGCCCAGGTAAAAGGTAGATAATAACAGGACCCAACTCTTAGGGTGGTGGTGAGTGGGGACCGTGGGTTTTCATCTGTGTTCAGAGATTAGCTCGGGCCTGACTCAGCACTGTTCACCACTTGATATGAATGTGTTTTGGGTTCTACCAAACCGTAAGTGCTTGGTGAGCAAGACACCATGCCTTGGTCATCACTCTGTCTAATGTGAAACTCGGCATGGGTACTGAATTGTAAAATCCTCAACTTCATGAACAATGCGAGAAATTGTTTTGACAAAGTTCAAATTGATACTTAAGTAGCAGAATCAGCATCCTTCAAATGTGCAACATGGATAAAAAGATTAAAAAAAAAGAACTGAAGAATTTTGACATGCACTGTTCTGGACTAATTTGTGAATTATATAAGTAATGTTCAGATTTATATGGGAAATATTTACAATGTCATATTGTCTTAAAGATACACCTTTATTTATACACACGCACTCTGTGTGTGTGTGTGTGTGTGTGTGTGTGTGTGTGTGTGTGTATGTATCCCACACACTGACTGGAAGTTGTTTCCTCTGAGCAGTCGAATGCAGCCATCACCCTTGTTTCTTTGACTTATTTTAGAATACACTTAAGTCCTTGGGAAAATCACTTAAGTCATCAGTGAGGAATGCCACCAAAATAGCTTCTCACTTAAGTTCCCATCCCTAGAGCTCACCCACAGGAGGTTCCGATAAATTCAAATATTTAATAACTTGTATTTTTCTTTCTCCTTAAACACAGGCCCTCTGGTCCTGGAAGCTGGGTCACGTGGTGGATTCTTGGCAGTCAGCAGTCTGTGGAGCTTTTGCAGGTGCAAAGGATTATATTATACTGGGAAAGACCAAAGTGGGGGAAATGTGAAAATATTCACAAAGCAAAAACAACATTCTTTAGAAATTCCTGATTGTTTAGATGAAGAGAGTACCACTAGTTATTTGAGAAAAGAAAGTGTCTTAGGAAAAAGAAAAACCTAAAAAGGTGTCCACTTGAAAGACAACCAATTTGTTTTTGACAAATTGTTTCGTTTTCTCTTTATCTTTATTAAAGCCTTCATTCAGACCCTTTTGAATTATCTTAAAGATGATTTATAAAGTCCTGTGTGGGAAGAGACTTGTTGTGGGTGTAGGGCTGACTCTGCAGCTGTCTGCCCTGAGCAGTGCTTTGGGGGTTTAAGCAATTTCTGCAGCAGGCAGTGATTCACGGTTTGTGGGCTGTGTTTGACAGCACTGCAGATTAACTAGTGTCAGGAGAACAGAGGCTGCCCCACAGTCTACTGAAGGCTAAACTACTCTGTGTAAAAAATATGGAGGTCCAAACATCTGGGCATTTTCTAGACATTAAACCATGAGCAAAGTGACAATGTGCGATATTGTGTGATCCATCACTGAGTCATACGAATTTTCCAGTGAGGTTCTAATGAGAACTCAGATGCCTTATGGAATTTAATAAATCATAGGTTTAACATTCTAAGAGAGAAATAGATTTTGTTGTAAATAAAGGTAAATTAGAATTACAGTTGAAAGAAACTGAAGTGGAGATTTGCCAGAAAGTTGTCAATTGCTACTTTAGATGTGAAGCCACTAAGTTGACAGATACGTAGGGTTAGATGTCAACTTTATTAGAAAAGGAATTATTTTTCAATTTCTTTAATGGTTGTTGGATTGGGTATTGTAATGATTAGGAAAATAGAAAACACACATGTTACAGGATTCTTTATTAATAATTGGAGCCATTTGACTTGTAGAATTGATCAAAAATAAGAAGGCTGCCTCTGGACACGAAGCCAGCTCAGACTGATTGTGATGGGTAATTGTTTGCACATGACGGCCATTAGCTGTGTTAAATGAGTAGGTGGTCTTGATTTGTTTTCCACAGGTCAGGCGTCTTTGTTCCGCAGTCCCTAAATGTGAAATGGGCATTTTTGTGACTCCCTCCTGGGCCCCGGGGACAGAGTGAGCATAATGGCAATCTGGCCCTCCCTGATAAGGCAAGGCCACTTTTTTTAAGTTTACAGTACCACACAATACAGTGTGCAGATGATGCACTTTAGAATTGTGCACCTGAAACCTGTATGCTTTGTTAACGAGTGTCACCCCAATAAATTCAATAAAAAAGAAAAAAAATAAAATTAATAATACCATGAAACTTCCATGTGTTGAAATAAGTATATATTCTCTGGCCCCATTCCTTAAGTAGCTGATAACAACATTCAAAGCAAACGCATTGGATCTATGAAGGAAATTTGCATTCATTACAATCCCCTTTTTCTGAATAATGCTTTGTAATAGGCACTATGCACTCGTATTAGTCAGAAGGGGGAACAAAACGTTTTTGTCAAACGCCTGCCCACTGGTCATGGGGTCCTGTGGGCCAAGCCCTTTTCTTTCAGTAAGGTGGCTCCCATGTCCAGTGACAGCAGAGAAGCTGGGGCGTGAGCAGGGAAGGGCTTTGCCCAGAGCCCCACGTCGAGTGCTGGCGAACTGGTTGGACTTACAAAAGCTGTCAAGTCTCAATTCTGCCCCCAAACAAGGAATGAGACTTTGGGGCCTTCCTGGGCACCATATGCCTTACCTGTAACCTAGAAGCAACCCTCTCTACCTAAAGGGATTACAGTACTTCAGTATATATTAGTACTTTGTAACTGATAAAACTTATGTAAGGAATTATTACTATTTTGATAAAAACAACCAACACCTTGAAAAAGAAAAGCTCTTACCATCACAATAATTTCAATTGCACTGATAGAATAATATTAACAAAGTTACTGTACACAAACATCTCCTCCAATACAATCACATTATTTTTTCAGCTGTGGTTCTGATAAATGAAGGAGTTTGTCCAAGATCTGCAAAAATCCACAGATATTTAGCAAAAGATTAAATACATTTCTTTTTATATCCCTTTTGTTTTGAAATTTTAGTTGGTACAGTGTTGATCCTGAGGAATTACGTTACTACTTTAAAACCTTTCTGAAAGATAAACATTATTTGAAAGTATTCCAGTTTATGAAAAAGTGATATTTTTTCATCAGTAAGTGAAAGTGTAGCAGCCTGTTGCAACATTGTGCGTTACGTACTTAAGGAGAAATGAATAATGACTTACCATCTTGAGCAGCCCCTTGAAGACCTCACTTGCTTACCCACCACACTTTCAGACTCTTTAGCCTTATGTGGCCATAAAGGCGGTGACAAAACATGCCCTTACATCAGAAATCAGGTTGCTCGTTCCTGCATGCGTGAACCCAGCCTGTGCTGCCCTTGGCACTCTTCTGTGCCCGTGCTTGTTTTATAAACCACTTGACACAAATATCCAAAAATAGCCCTTGAGATTGGAGGTGTTGAAGGCTTGTCATGCTCAGCAATTCCCTTGGCTGCTGGTCAGGGGTTAAATTAGGAAGAAAAGAGACTTTGCCAACTGCCTCACTTCAAGTTGACTTTTAAACATAAAATTGTAATTCAGCCTAAGTAATTATGACATATGTTACCAAAGTGATAATTGCCATTCTAGTGTTCTTTGATCTGTTTCATGTAATTAACACCTATTTATATTCTGTAAGAGGAGAGTGATAGGGATATGGATATAGATAGACAGACAGACAGACAGATCTTCCCATGGCCTGAAATTCTAGAAGAGGGTGAAGTGCAAATGAGAAGGCGCAACACAATCTTTAAAAGAAAAACAGATTTATTGTTGTTGAAGCCTTACCGCCTGGACACTGTTTGGAGATTATGCAGAAGACATGCCTGAAGATCCTCCTCTTACTGCCAGGCTAATCAGAGGGGACCTTGAGGGACAATGAGGGACAGTGCTGCCTCCACCATATTCACAGCTGCTACTAGGAGGTCACAGCTCCAGACCTGCTGAAGGAGGGTGGACCTCTTGTCTAGAGACCTTAAATAATTAGCATTGGTTTCCTAAGGACCTGCATGACATCTAGTTTCTTCTAAATCTGTTCCTGGATGCAGTTCTCCTAGCGTCCAGTAAAGTAAAAACCTACCGCAGGAGAGCCTGGAGTAAATTGTTTCCCATGTGATTTGAACACTAAAGCAGCCTCCAGTTGCTGTACCAAAGAATTGTTTCCTGTCTAATATGTTAGCATGTACCCTGTATTAATTACCAGCAGTTTACAGTTCTCTTAAGTAAAATGTAGAAAATAATGACATTTTAACTGAAAGTACCAGTCCCCTGACCCGTCCCCATTATGATGTTATTCTGTTACATGACCTTCACAAGTCCTTCCTGCAGCCTCATAAAAAACATTGTGGGGTCTGTGAAGTAGGGCAGTCTTGACATTCGAAGATACTCAAATTGACTCATTAGTAACTTTCATAAAATATAGTTTCCCTCATGGTAGTAAAATTAGGACCTATTTAAGCATATGCGCTCTTGTCTTTCACGTTTCCTCATATCACTTGGATGAAACAGAAATCTCTGAGAGAATACTGACTGGCAAGTGTCCACAGTAAAGGAATGGGGGACTTTTGCTAATGGCCGAATTTGATTTGCAGTATCCAGACTTATTAGAAGGCAAATACTCTTCAACATAGGTGGCTCATAAAAGCTTGAGTAGACAGGGGACAAATGTCCTTGTGAGCTTTCAAGTTGTTTTAGTCAGTTTAGGACAGTTTTTGAACATTTTCAAACAAGAAAAATGGTATATGCACTTCCGAGTATTAAACGGATACATTTTAATGTCTTTTTATATATCAAAGTCATTATGTAGTGAAAGAGCTAAGATACACATGACTTTGAGTCTCCAATCCATATTACCTATGTTTCCCTGGGCAAGTTGTCTGTAAGATGCAAATGAGATAAAGTAATCCGTGAAAGTACCTAGTTCAGCCCCAGTGCACCGCATACAAGGAAAACACGGGCATTAGCTTGGGCCTTCCCATTCCCCCTTCCTTTTAGAGGACAAGTTGAAATCTTCAGTTTGTAAAAACTGCAGACACTTGCCTATGGGCACCCAGTAAGCATGTTTGAGCCCCTACTCTGTGTACTGGGATATAGACATGAAGAAAACTCACACATCTCTGCCCACCCAGAAAACAGCTGATTACTTTGAGCGTAAGTATGAGCCGGGGACTACTCTAAACCCTTTGTGTAAACCCATTTAACCCCTATGTCATATTGCTGTCTGCATTTTATAGGTGAAAAACAGCCCAATAGAAGACCCAGTGGCCAAAAGCTCAGCGACTGGAGTCAGACAAAGGTTCAAGTCTCAGCTTGCATTAGGATAACTCGCTGTGATTTAATGTCCCTGAGCATCAATTTCCCTGCCTGTAGCTTGGGGGAACCAGAGTGCCCATCTCACAGGTTCTTCACCTGAGGCCAGTCAGCCAGGAGAGCGCGGAGGGAGGCCTGGGTCTTCCCGACTCTGAGGGAGGGCTCTTTCAGGCTGGACCCTGCAGCCAGTAAGGGAAACGAAGCTGAATATGAGGTTGGAGTGCTACAGGGTCATTGTGTTTTTCTTCCTTTGTCCTTTTTATTCCTTATTGGGGACTTTTTTTTTCTTTTTAATGGATGTGAAGCCTTCCTGGACCTTTTCTGTAATTAAAGTATATTTACTCTTTTAGTGCAGAATATGTGGTTGAAAAACATTAAAATTGTTGGATTTCAGGTTGAGTCCTCCAAATTTTAACATACTTGAGGTTTTTAGCCAAGTCTCTGAATATCAGGCAACTTCTGAATCTGGAGGAAAATGTTTCACATATTCATAACACAAAAGTGGCTTAAAAAAGGACACCCGTATTCCTGTCATTGATCTTTATCAACCCTAAGGTGTGTCATTTGTAGGTAACCAAAAATGGAACATAGAAGCACAAGTGGGTACATCTTTCAAAAAGTCATCATCATGAAGTTACCACCTGGAGGAGGTTCAGTGTAATGATCTTTCTTCAGCAACACATTTGGAAAGATATTTGGCAAAGATCAAATGACCTTCTTTGTCCACATGCCATACAACATGGAGGGAGAGTGGTGGTATTTCTGGAGCATCCTTCCCACATGTGTTCTATTCAGCACTCTTAGAAAACTGCCCACTTCACCCAAGCTTGTGGACACTGAATCCTTGGAGTCCTTTGAGTTTATTATTTTCACCTCCTTAGGGTTTCTTGAGGTTTAAATTATACCTTTGTATCATATTACACAGAACATTAGCACCATATACTGTGGTTTCTGTTAGGAAAAAATTTCCAATTCCTCTGTCCGTAGATACAGCTACCTTTATAATGTGTGGGTTTTTAAAATATCTGTTGGGCAGTCACGGCATTTCCATGGAAGAGAAAGTAGGAGGGAAGTCATGAGGAGAAATGCCTGTCAGATCAAGATGGACTAACAAAGTACAGAAGGAAGCTTAGAAATGTTGTTACTTCAGCTGGCCTGTTATCAGAAGCCTGGAAGTACAGAAAGCTTTACTCTTTGAATGTCTTTCACTCGAAGAATCCAGCCATTTGTACCAAAAATCCCCACCATGATACCCGTTTCTGTTTGCCCACTTTGCCTCAGGGCAGAAATGATAGAAGCATCTTGGAGTCAGGTGAGAGAAGAGTGGCCCCTGGAAGGCACGGCCCTCTGAGAATCTGTAGGAAGCCCCCCACCCCCTCAGCGAGAGCAGGTGTTTACCGTAGACACAGTCAGGGAGACATGCAGCTCTGTTCGCTGCACCCCAGAGAGCAAGATGGGAGGGGGGGACCAGGTTAGCCTGAGGAGGTAAAGCATTACCTTGTCATCTTGTCATTTGCAATGGTGTCACTGCAAAGCAGTTGCGTGCAGGTAAAGGTTTGGCATGCATGCATCTTGTTCTTGAACCAGTCAAGGGCACATAATGATGAAGAAGTGCTTTTTGTAGACACATAGAATTATACAATAAAAATTAGGGAACACTGTGTGACACAGTAAACACTGTATTGGGGTTTATGTGCACAGGTGGATTCGCAGCTGCAGTCACCACACCTCTGGATGTGGCAAAAACAAGAATCATGTTGGCAAAGGTAAGTGGTAAAATAACATAATGTAGACGTAACAGACGTTCCTATATAATGGTAGCACTAGGGTTTATGTGTACATTAAGTGAAGAAAAGTGGCAAACACTTCCCTGTAGTAGCAGCCTTTTGATGCCTGTTGCATGCCTGATGAAACTGATATTGACAAAACAATTTCCGTTGTTCTTGCTGCAAACAGTGTCTGTATAGCATTCTACCCTTCGACATCATTTTTAACTACGTTATGTAAGCCAGCAGGGCTCGTAGCGCCTCTGCATGGTAAGACTACATTCAGTTTACCTCTGTTTTTACTGGTGACAGACCTGAGGCTCAGAAAGTCGGCTTCCTTCATGCTACGCAGCAGGTGAACTAACTACAGGCTCTTGAACTTAGGTCATGCTTGGCCTTCACTGGGTGAATGAGGAGAGTTATCAGAATTGTTACAATTTTTTCATTAAAAAGAAAAATTGTTAAAAAAATAACACTGCAGACTTCACGGATGCCATGCATATAACAGGTGGACTAAAGCAATAAGAAATAGTCATGCACTTGTGGAAAAGTATATGACTTTTCCTAAGGATGTCAGCCATGTTTTAAATTGAACATATTAAATAGTACCCTTCAATAAATGTGTTTAATAGCTACTGAGGTGAGTTTCATAATTGTACCATTTACACTGAGTAGTCCCCATTCCTCTCAGGTCAGTTGATACTGTTTTCAGTGGTTCTCCTGCTCTGTAGTTGTATATGAGCTACCTAGGAGTGCTTTTCCTGTTCAGTAGTTTTAAGTCAGTATCTGGGTGTGATTTTCCTATTTAGCAGTGTACATGAGTTATCTGAGTGTGGTTTTCCTGATCAGTATTTGTATGTGACATAGCTGGGTGTATTTTTCTTGTTCAGTGGTTTTATGTGAATAATCCGGGTGTGATTTTTCTGTTTAGTAGTTGTATGTGAACTATCTGGGTGTGGTTTTTCTGTTCACTCATGTACATGAATTTTCTGGCTGTGGTTTTTCTGGTCAGTAGTTGTAGGTGCATTGTCAGGGTATGGTTCCTGGTCAGTAGTTGTATGTGAATTTTCTGGCTGTAGTCTTCCTGTTCAGTGTTTGTATGTGAATAATCTGGGTGGGGATTTTTTTCATCGCTAGTTGTATGTGACTTAGCTGGGTGTAGTGTTCCTGTTTAGTAGTTGTATATGAACTATTTGGGTATGATTTTCCTGTCCAGTTGTACGTGAGCTACCTGCATGTGGCTTGCTGTTCACTACTGTATGTGAATTATCAGAGTATGATTTGCCTGTTCAGTGGTCGTATGTGAATTATCTGGATGTGGTTTTCCTGTTCAGTAGTTGTACATGAACTATCTGGGTGTGGTGTTCCTGTTTTCTTGTGTATGTGAATTACCTGGGTGTGATTTCCCTGCTTAGTAGTGTAAGTGAAATATCTGGGTATGGATATCTTGGTCATTAGTTGTATGTGAATTATCTGGGTATGGTTTTCCTGTTCCGTGACTGTATGTGAATTATCTGGGTGTTAATTTCCTGTTCGGTAGTTGTACGTGAATTATCTTGTTGCATTATCTCATTTAGTGGTTTTTTGTGAATTATCTGGGTGTGATTCTCCTGTTAACACATTAGCTGTATGTGAATAATCTGGGTGAACTCCGTTCATCTTTTGATAACGAGACACCAGGAAAAGCCGTTTTCTGTGGCTTGTGCCAAATCAGTGCTTGCTTGTCAGTTTGAGTGTAAGGCCTTCTGGTGTAACGAGATCCAGGGCTCCTGATTCCTCAGAAACTCCCCAGTCTATTTGAAACTGTCTTAGATGAAGGCAGTAGGTAGCTGTGCACCAGAGGACATCTGTAAGTTGGAGACTTTCATAAGATAATGGCTTTCTCTTCTGTCCTTGCATGCAGGCCGGTTCCAGCACTGCTAGTGGCAATGTCCTCTCTGTCCTGCGTGGGGTCTGGCAGACACAGGGACTATCAGGGTAAGAATGAGAAACAATGTTCACCTGCCTCCCTCTCTCCACTGGTTCATCCTCTTCTAGCCTGACGTAGGACAAACCCTTTCCTGTCTTCTGCTTATGCCCTGGTTGGGCGTCTCTTTATTCATACGTATTGAGCCAGATGTTACATTTGATTTTACTTACAATGAGATAATATTGTATAATTAAGCTGTTGCAGTCTTCTAGCCAGGTCCATAGATGCTGCCCACATGTGCGGCTCCTGCTAGCCTCCGGGCTGCAGCATTGAGAAGACAGGCTTCTAGGAACTCGGTGAGTGAGGGCAACATCGTCAGGAGAAAGCATGACTCTCAGCACACCGTAGTGCATGACGCCTACTCGAAAGCACTGCTCTGTATTATCAGCAAAGTGCCTCAAACCTTTAGTGTCATATCCTCTACAGCTCTCTCTTCAAAATGTTATTTCAACATTGCTTTTGAACCGAAATTTATAAAGCTGTCTGAACGTTGGGATCTGTACAGGTATGTGAAATTACGATTTTCTCTTTGGAATCATCTACCAGGGATTTTCCTGAGCAGAGCAGCAGCCTCCTTTGGGAGAAGATCACGCCTGAGCCCTGTGACAGGGTTGGCTTGGTGCGGATACAGCGGGTGGTGGTGCCACCTCCTCATTAATTTGATGCCAGAAGTTTATTTTAGTTGGTTGATGGTTTGGGGATCATGAAGCATGTTGGTCAGGCCCCATGGTGAGATTTTCTCAGGAGAATGGCCTCATCATCTATTCAGAATTTCCACCTGAAAGTTTGAAAAGTATGTATTGCTGATGGTTGTGTGAATATGACCGCTCTGATGGACTGATGCTGGTTGCCTGAAGGACATAAGGATTCTGAGACAAGAACTGGGTTTGACAGCGAGAACAGGCGAGCACAGGAAGGGCAGAGCGGGGGCTTCTGTGCTGTGGTCAGCCATTTATGGCTAGCACATTGGGAGGAAGTAAGAATCTGGTTGCTCAGAGCTGAGGCATATTGATTTGGACAGCAATTCCACACTGAACCAGGACATGGTGTGAGAAGAAAGTGAGGACTAAAGCAGCTTAATTAGTAGCAGGTTATTAAGAATTGTAACCAAAAGCAGGGAAAACAAACAAACTCCAATTGTGCGCACTGTTCTGATGATGAGTCCTAGACATTCTCAGCCCTGCAAAGGTCTCTTTGTGACTCCTTTGGTCCTGTTTCCACCCTGAACGCCCATGCCAGTGTCACCACGTCCTCGGGTGCCCAGCAGGTTTAGGGTCCATATCACAGTGAAATGCGCTGACCTCTCAGGGAGAGGGAAAGGAGCGACACTTCGGTGGTTTGTTGGTTTGCTCAATGTTCTGGCGCACATTTGTTTTTTCCAAAATAAAACTACAGTGTGCTCATTGGTAACCCTGCAGGTAAAACTGCCAACCCTGCAGTGCCCCTTTCTGCTTTTCTTGACGTTTTCTCAACAGTGCCTCGTATGCAACAACTGCCACTGCCACACACGCCCTTTGAGCGCGTGGCTCTCTGCTAAGTGCTCTGTGCCTGCTATCTCGTTTAACCTGTGCTCACTCAAAACAGCTCTCCCTGCTCTACGCCAAGTCTTTGCCTGGCTGCACAAGTTTCTCTACCTAAGGCTATGCATATGTTAAATAATTCAACTGTCATCTAGTGAAACCATAAACTGCTACCTTCTGCCTCTTGCCAGGGGCAGCTAAGCTCATTAGCAGCAAAAGCTGAACCAAGACACTGGCTTTAAGGAGAAGTCAGATGAAAAGGAGCAGGGAGGGTGACTTTGTGGCCAGTGTGGTCTCCTAACTCAGCCTTAGCTGGCCTCCTCCCTGCACCCTTCCCTTTGTGGACTAGGGCAGGGAGATTAATCTGTTTTTCAAGCCAGAAGGACACAGTGGTTTCAAAGTGGTAATTTATGAGTTTTTGTCCTCACCGACCACCTCAGGCAAAAACAATTTGCATGATGCTGATATGAACACCTTTTTTTCTTACAAGTGAATCTTCATCTTCCATAGAATATTCATGGTTATTTCTAGGCAAGAAAAAGAGGCTCTGATTTTATCTGTCATATTTTTACTTAATGACTTAAGGCCTTACTTAACTAATTAAAATCAGGACGCCCTAACACTACCCTCCAGTCCACTTGCCCCAGAAGTTCTAAGCACTGCACACCAAGGGGATGGGGCGTGCTGACCTCTGCCTGCATCGTTGCCGAAGGAGGGCTGTGCCCAAAGGAGGCAGCCAGGGCTGCTGTGGCCTGGGCAGCAGGGCTTTCTTCCTGGCGTTTCTTGGCGAGCCACCCTTTAGCTTATTATGGAGACTTTTTCCCTTATTTGGAAAGATACACAAACTACTCTTGGCATAACCTGACCATATTCAGTTTTCTTCTGTAGACCCCATCTTTTCACTAGTAAATCCACTGCTTCTGATTTTGTTTTTTGTGCTTACAAAAGCAATACTCTTGGTTTAAAAAAAAAAGTTACTGCAAAATACAGACAGGGATGTTTTCTGTAATGCTGTGCTGCGAGGGTGGTTTAGGACACAATGCCTACCATGTTTGTTACGTACGTACTCATGCTATATACTTGCAGCTTTGGGACTTGACTTTTCCAGAACCCACTGTGTACACCTTCTGTGTTGGTATCTCCTGTCTGCCCCATTCTTAGCAACTGAAATTTCCCGTGTGTGTGGCCACTGCGCCAGAATTTGTGTAACCAGAGGGGGTTATTTGCAGGTTTTAAAAAAACCCAGCAATGTCATGATGAACATCTTTGAGCAGGTACCTGTGCGTACCTATGGGAGGGTTTATAAAGAATGAATCCTGCCCTGGCTTGGTGGCTCAGTTGGCTGCAACGTCATTCTGTACCCCAAAGGTTTCAGGTTAGATCCCCGGTCAGGGCACACACGGAAGGCAACTGATCGATATTTCTCCCTTTCTCTTTCTCTAAAATCAATAAACATTCCTCATGTGAGGAATTTTTTAAAAAATGAATCACTTTCCAATATACATCCCTAGTAACATTGTTCTTTTACTTTGCATTTCCTCCATTATTCCAAAGTTGCATCTTTGACAGTGACTCATCTTCTGAGGTGCTTGGGGACTAAAGCTGCTACTCCTTTCCCTGCCACAGCCCTGTTCACCTTTCTTCTCCTTCATGAGAGGAGAAAGAAAACAGGATCCGTGGGGATTTGTCTTCTGCTGTGGCATTATATTTGTGGGTCTCTAAGGACAAAATGTGCCTGAGTCCTGGAGAGGAACAGCAGAGTTGTCCAAAAATCTCCTCTAACACCTGAGACCACTGTAGGCTTTCATGGTGGGCTGTGCCCTTTGACTCCTTTGGAAAAAAATGTCAATTCCATCATCTCTAAAAGGCAGAAATAGTTTGAAACTTTTAAACAGGACAATTGTGGAGACAGAGTTACTGTTTCTTCACTAATTATTTGACTTAATTGTGAGTGCTCACAAGTATGCTATCTGGTATGTAGCCACTTTTGCCAACAAACAGCTGGGCTCAGACTTTAGCAAGTCTACTTGGGAATGTAATTTAGTGCCATTCTAAAAGGAAAAAACACATTTAAGTACTGTGTGGGGTTTAATGAGCATGGAGTGTTGAGTTGAGCAAGCTGTGGGTGTTGGAATTTAACCTTTTTTGCACACACACAATTTTTAAAAATCTCTCCTTTGTTTTTTTGCCCTTAGATTATTTGCAGGTGTCTTCCCTCGAATGTCAGCCATCAGTCTGGGAGGTTTCATCTTTCTTGGTGCTTATGACCAAACTCGCAGCCTGCTGATGAAACTTGGCAAAGAGAGTCTGTGAATCCCATGGCCCTACACCCCCTTCTTTCATGAAGCGGTCATGCTGTGAGCTGATTCAGTCCAGCGAGCAGCTGTTTGGCCATCTAAACCATGAAATACAATGCTGAACTCCATCGCTGCAGAGAATGCGTCTTCTGTGCTACAGGCTGGCTGGAATAATGCCATCAGCTTATTTGCCAGGAAGAGAGAAAATGGTGTCCACAGCGGTACTTTGAATGATTTTCTCTGAGCCCCTTAATAAAATAAGTTTGATGATGCTGAGTCCAGGCCTCTCAGAGCTTTCATTTGATTGTATCTGACCTTTGGTTTCCTGCCCCATGATAGCACACTTGAAGAAGGCAGAGATGGCTGTAATTTTAAAAGAATGGCTGGGCTGGGAGGAGATAGGGAAACGGTTGTACATGTGAGTGCATTTCTCCCCTGGGTTAATTACTACTGTGTAGGCTTACAGCTTTGTTTAAAAAGAAGGAACTACAGGTGCATATGAGCTGTCTTGCTGGGTCACCAGGCTGCTCTTATGACCCTCAGATTTAACCTGTAAGAACCACAATTTCATTCGACAGAGAAGTGTCCAGCGGCCCATGTGGAGTGTGAAAGGAAGCAGCTACAGGTCAGTGACCAGGCAGGCCCCATGGGTTTGGGGGCAGGGAGGGTGTGCTGGGGCCTCAGTGGCAGCTGGGCCGCACTCCACTGTGTTCCATTTCAGACCAAAGGATGGGCCAGGCAGGCTTTGCAGACTGTTATTTCTTTTTTCCTAATCAGTAAGCTTTTCCTGGAGTTTCATGCTCAGCACCGGAAGGAGAAGGGATGAAACGGGAAGGCCACCATTCTAAAGCTTGACTAATAAGCCCCAGGTGTTGGAAAAATTCAGCATCTCAGGAATCTAGTGCTGTTGTGTCTTCCCCGGAGCCACAGTACACCATTCTGCTCTGCCTAAATTTTTCTTCTTTCTTTCTTTCCTTTTTTTTCCGGGGGCGGGGTGGGGCGGTGCAGGGATAAAGGTAATTAAAGGCACAGTGACTGCATTTGTCAGGGCATCTCTGGAATTAAAGGGAGTGAAGCAATGCTGGTTAATGTACATAGAAGAATGACCCAAGCCACACACTTAACATTTATAGATGAAACTTTATTAAAGACACTTCAATGCCATTTGTTAGACACTTCAATATTTTACATGTTTTCCAATGTACATTGTACCAAAATTTCTATAAATAAATAACTTTGTACACGAAAGTAATACTTCCTCTTTCACATTGCCTCTCAGAAGCAGCAAATTCACATATGCTGTGGAAGTAACATTAATCAGTTCACTGTTGAGAACAAAGTTTAAATGTGCTTACCTTTTGGAACAGTGATGACATTTGACAGTAAAATTTAACAAAGCAATTACTTTTTCAATATACCTTCAGCCTTTTGGCTAAAGGACCTCGTTAGTTTCAATGTAATTTTTCCTGAACTATACCTTGGCACTCACAAGATGGTTAGCTACAGGTCTCAAAAGTGCAAATATACCCAGAACCCAGGTTTAGGGATAAAGCTTGCAAGTCCAAGCCCGGGTCCGTGTGTGCAAGGGAAGGACATGGACAGGCTTGCTCCCGATCCTCAGTCGAGATAAGCTAGCCCTGGAAAGGAAGAACTTGATCCCTTTTCTCCCCTAAGAACAATATAATATTAATTATATTGGCAGAACTAAAACATCACTGAAAAATCCACAGGTACCAACAGCAGCAACCTCTATCTCAATAGAAAGCCTCAAATGACAATCTCACGATACTGACAAGACCACATTTACTTTTCTCATAGAAAGAAAGGCTTAATTGTTCAGACCAACTGCTTGTGGCGGATTAACAACCCGCCACTCATGCTTGTTAAAGCACGAACTCAAACCTACGAGAAAGAGTCACCACACATGAGAAATACTGACATGAAGTTACTTCCAATGCAAACCAAGTCTGCCTGTAAAGCATCCCAGGGACCTGTCCTATGATGTGTGACTGAGATAGGACTTTCCATCCTTCCCACCCACTAAAGCTCCTCAGAGCAAATGTGGTTTTTAGCCTCTACAAATTCCATCCACACATTAAGGCACCAGAACTATCCCCCCCTTCCAAAATTAAACTGCAACCTGATATGAAAAATAATATTGTCAAAATTGTATGGTTTTTTTTAACCATGCACTAAAGATTAAAATATCCTCTGTAAAAGATATATAATATATATGAAATCTCTGAAAACTCTTATGTACAATGGTATCAAATACTTTTCTGCCTTTTGTACACAATAGCCGCCTGCATTCTGTGACATCAGCTGCAAGTCCTTTAAACTACTGACACTCCACATGGAAGTTAAAACTGTACAGATCAGTGATGCTTGAACCAAGCTTCCTCACAGCCTCTCCTACCTCTCCTTCCCATAAAGATTGACACAAGAGCTGAGGTAGACAACGCCTAGATCTGCGGTGCAAACAGCAGCATCCCAGTCCGTTTCCCAGGGAGCTGTCCTGTCAGTGGTGTGGACTCAGGACAGGAGTCACATGCTCTTGGGAGGTGTCCATTGGAAAGAAGCAAGTGCTGGCCTTCGCTGGGGATGTCAGGAAAGCCCGAGGGGCCTCGTGTGAGCTCAGAACTGCTAGGAGTTAATGTAGAAGAAGGCTGGAGGTCTACGGAGTCTGGCTCACATAACCTTGCTAACGTCCACGAAGAGACCCCTAACAAGAGAGGAGAGGGTATGTCAGACCCTCTAGCCTGGTTGTTTCCATGCCCGCCCCAGCTGCTGGCGACTCCTGGGAAGAAAGTAAACATTTACCTTTCCCATCTGGAGGTGCCCCTGGCTTTTTCTTCAAGGATGTCAGCATTCTATCGTGGTTACTGGGGTAGAGGGACTCCCTGCCGTCGGTGTGGGACCCGTCCGAAGTCCCACCGTTTGGATGTGAAGAATGTTCTTGGTCACTGTCAATGGGCTCCTGGCTTCTTGGTGTATCTGGCTGGGTACTGTCTCTGGATATAGACTGAGGACAGAAGGCTTGTTCCTTGGAGTGACTGTCCATATCAGTGTTGCAGTCACTGCATACAACTGGGCCATTGTGCTCTGCAAGACACAGCCAGAGATGATGAGAACCACCGGCTGAGGCCTCCACCCCCACACAGAGGCTGCTGCCCTCCTCCAGGGCCCCACTTACGATCAGCTCTACCACCCCCGCGCCCCCAGCATGTTCACAGAAAAAGGACTGGGCAAACACCACGCCATTAAGAATTCGGTCTTTTGTGTTTAAACACTTCAGATTCAATTCTTTGTCAGACAACTTTGGGCACAGAAAGGAATCCCATTTGAAGAAACCACACAGTGCCAGGAGTCTTCTGGACAGTTAGAAATGTAATCTCCACGGCCCTGGTGAAAAGGTCCTTTTAAGTTGCTTATAAATCACGTCCAGATTCACCACACCATCAGTTTATTTTAGAGACATCCTGCTCGAACTCAGAGCCAGGTGCCACACAGCTTCCACTGAATACCAACTTCTGAGGTAGGCTTATACAATAATGCGTCTCCCTGCTTCATTAACAAAGTCAACCCAGATTTGGATTTCAAGAACAAAGTATTTCCTGACGAACGCATCTCATACCCATCTTCCGTGGACCAGGTGTGACATTGGCTTTCTCCATCACTTTCCATGGCTCCTTACTGTACCCAACACAGGGCTTGGGCTGCCTGCAGGTAACAGCGTGAGCATCTGCCTCTGGAGAGAGGCCTGCATCTCTCGGACAAACACCTGCAACAGAGTCCCACACTGTTGGAAACACTGGGCCTAGCACTTCACAGAAAGCCTGATGGAAAGAATGGACAAAGCTGCTAGGAGAGCCATTTCTAAAATGTTCTCTAGCATGGTGGTTCACAGGCCCCTTTTCCCAGCGGGCAGGCCTTTCAGCACTCAGCCCTGTGAATGAGATCCTTTATAAGGAGCAACTTGCCCTGAGCATGTGCTCTGTCTCTCCCACTGAAATCACTCACCCTTGTGAGAGTGTCTGAATATGAGAGGAGCTGAGACTGTTAGTAAGAGACACTAAGCCCAACATAGAGACTTCCTGGGGGATGAGGTTTTAAAACTTTGTAGAACCTACACAGGGAAGTCCAAAAACCCAACTGGCTTCCGTCACAAGCCTTCCATGTCAACATGCTCAATGTAATGCCATGCACCTGCCCTGGAAGTGGGCTGGAGGCCACCTCCAGCTCATGAGAACAGTCACATCAGATTTGGAGGCCTTACCATTGCTCTCTATGTGCCCATTTGCCTGATGGCCACCCTCAGTCCTGAGCACAGTGTCCTGTCGGTCAGAAAGGGTCCCCTGAGAAGAGAGGTAGCTCGGAACATCTGGAGGCACGACGGTTTCATCTGCAAGGGAGACAGGACAGTCACCCACCAGGTATCCCAGTCCTTTGTGGTGACAAGGATACAGACACAAACAGGATCCCCCAGTGGCTGCTGTCGAGACTGCGCAGAGATCCTGCGGTGTCTTGCACCCAAGAGGCCCTCCAGGGTATGCTGAGCCTTGCTTTACACCCAGGTGTAAAGTGCATGGCAATCAGACGCCTGAGTACACAAGAAAGAACAAGTAGTGATGGGAAAGGGCCGAGCTACAGAAACGCAATACTGAGATCGCTGCAGCAACAATCCCCTACGTGGCAACAAAGCATGTGCCCAGGATGTCTCTGAATTACCAAAGAGACAGAAAATTGCAGAGTTCATTATGTACTTATGTTGCAAAGTATTCCCATTTCATGTTAAATTCCTGGAAGTTAAAGCAGTGTCAATGACAGCCAGCTGAGTATCCTGCCCAGCCTCCGCTGTCCCGAATGGCTCCCTATTCCCAAAGGTTCTAGAGTTTTAAATACACTGAAATCCTTAGAAGGACCTCGGGATCTGGCCTCCCTCCCAAATGTCACTGCTCTCCTCCTCCCTGAAAATGGACTGGGCTAGCAGGGGCTCACCTGTGTTGGTGACGCTGTACTCTTCACTCTTCTTCCTGGTCTGGTAGATGATGCACACCCAGACCAAGGATGTCAGGACGATGCTGCACACCACAGCGATGGTGAAGATACCTGCGGTGGTGCCGTCCCTCCGGCATCCGGGGCTGGGCAGGATACTCAGCTGGCTGTGAGCCCGCTCCGTGCCCAGAGCATTGGACATCTCGCACGTATACTGGCCTGCGTCCTCAGCCACCACGTTCTGCACAACCAGCAGCTGGTTGCCAGGG